TAAATATGACATCTAAGTGCATCCCTCTTCCACTTGCACCTAAATGTTTTCTCCCTTATTCTTTTCTATTTTTTGTTTTGTTTTGCTTTAGGCGCGGTCCCTCTATGTAGCCCTGGGTGTCCTGGAACTTACTTTGTAGATTAGGCTGACATCATCAACCTCAATGAGATTTACCGGCCTCTGACTCCTGAGTGCTAAGATTAAAGATGTTAACTGTCACATCTGGTTTTATTTTCCCTTATTCTTAAATATTGCAGTAATTTTGATTCAGCTAGCATCATTATGAAATTCTTTTCTGTGGTAGTCAAGAATTTGCCTTAATCTTATTACAGTTTATTTACTTATTTAGTGTGTGTGTGTTCGCGTATGAACTTTCCAATTCATATATATGGTTGTCAGAATGTTTCTAAACTTGGGTTTATAGTCTATAACTCAAGAAGCCTGGTTCAGCGACCCATCTTTGAAAGTCAATTAAAATAGTCAAATGAATAGTAAAACAAAGAGATTTATAATGTGGGATTACTCACATTGGGAAGCGGGCCCAAGAGATCCAGGGATCCAGGACCCCCCCAAGCTATCTTCAGGGTCCCGAAATAAGATTAAAATTCAAATAGAGGGCCAGGAATATGCATATGTTAGCAGTCCCATTCAAGCTATGGCCCTATTATCTGGGCTTCATTCTTAACTTGTAATCTGACAAAATGTCAAGAGTTATGTGAAATTGTCTTTTCTGGGAGCCAAGACATTCATGTGTCTGGCATTAAGTTTCAGTGCTTTTCTTCTACCAAGAGGTCACTAGGGAAATTTCAATTTCTTGGTGTTCATTGTCTTAATTGTCTGGCAGCTAAAATGGACCTTTAAGATATATTTGTTTTTGCCAGGACAGATACAAAAGGACATCTGGGAGCTATTTCTCTCCTTCCACCACGTGGTTCTCTGGGATTGAACTTAGATCATCAGGCTGAGCCAAGTGGTCAGACTCAAGAACCCTTGAGATTTATTTAAATGGAGGCCAGGAAATGTAGCTCCCTAGCCTACTGGCAGCAGTGATTGGCTGACTACCTACTACCTGACATTTGTATCTTCTGGCCTCTATAATACCAAGTGATCACTAAATCTAGTTTGTTCTGTTTTGAAATGTGGCAATTTCCATTAGTTCTGTCTATATAGAACTGTGGTTCTATAGTGTGGCTGCATTGATGTTTACCTGAATTATAAGTTCCTAGTGTGGTTTAAAGACAGAAACTGTAGAGCTAGCTCTGAGTTTGACTACCTGGGTCCAGCAGACTCAAATATGGTGGCCCTCTAGTTTTCTTCCCATGCACTTCTAAATTGTACCTTTAGCACTCACTGGTGGGTGACTTGATGAACTTGGAAAAGGTGAATGAATAAGCAGATCAATGTGGAGAGATGAGAAACACTGGCAGGTAATACAAAGGCATGAGCCTTCTAAGGACTACAGAGGGACTCAGAAAATGAAATGAAAATAAGAATGGGCTGAAGAATGTTAAAGATGTTATGGTTATAAGTTAGCAGAAACAGTAGAGTATGAAGTAAACTAAAAAGCTACAGTAGAAGGTAGAATCTATATTCATAGTACATTTCTTTATATACTGGAATTTGTTAATCTTATTAAAAAAAAAAAAAACTTTCTCCAAACAATCCCACAAACATCTACAAGAGCAATGAATTGTGATTTTGACAAATAGGAAATGAGAAGAACTATTTCTATTAAAGTACCATAGTAAGTTCCACAAAAAGTATATCCTTTCAAAGACAATTTTGCTAAAACAAAACAAAGAATAAAGTCTCTCTCTTTTTGAACTCAAGACCCTCCTTCTTCTACTCCTGAATGCTGGGGTTAGTGTGCCATGTGCCTGACCTACAACACAACTATCATTTTAAAAATCCAAAAGAATTCACATAGCCTATGTCATTTGCTATGAATTTTATTAAATAACTTTCTTTTGGGCTTTGGTCTGGAAATTCCAGGTTTAATTAAAACCCAACATAATTACAGAAACACATATCAATCCATTGAGCCTTTGCATAAATATGTTGAATTTATTCAAGATATACTCTTCAAATTACCTCATTTAAAATTAACAGCTAATAAAGTCCATTTTAAAATACAATGATATGAAAACAGGCACAGTAAGAAAACAAAGACTCCTGATTTTAGAGACTTACTATGAAACTTTCCTTACTATGAAATTATCCTTTTAACTTCTTCATTGTCAATTCTGAGTGAACCAAGATGGCCTCTTTATGTTTCGTTCCACAATCCTCTTGCCATGATCCTGTTCTGATGGTTTCTCTCCTGTGTACAGTACCACAGTCTCTACGGTAGGAGCTTTAAAGGGGCCCCCTTCTTGAGCCCATATTTGTTGTCTGATTTTTATTGTTTCCTTGCGTACTTTCTCATAGCAATAGCCACAAAGGACATGTTTCTGCTTCAGGTGACCACATTCAGGGCAAATGTCTATATTGTTCTTGAAAACAAAGAAAAACATATTAACAACAGGCAATATATACACAATCACCAGCAGGATCCCTAAAATGCTCACATTGTAGCTTTCTGAGAATGCTCATGCTATGTGAGGGTATTGATTATTGAGTTCAACTTTAATGGTAAAACTGAAAGAGCGGTAACACTGAGTTCAAATTAGTAAGAATATTGGGGCTAGAACTCAAGTTTACCAGTCTAGTATATTTTTATTTATATAGCCCATGGATAAACCATTCTCATATTCTCTTGTCTATCCTCTGGCCAGAGCAGAATGTTTTGATTATATAAATCTAGTGAATTCCACATTAACCACAGCTAAGGAAAAAGTTTGGAGATTACTACTTGTGAAGATCCTATGTGACTTTTGAACTGTAAACTCTTATTATTAGTCCTCTTATTTCAAACAATAAATAATCAACACAATGGGTTCATCCACTAAGAGTAACTTAAAACATCAAGGAAAAGTTAAATCACTTTTCAATCTATGTTGAACCGAACAAGATGAATAAGACTATTATAAAGCCAGCTCCTCTGCTATACAAATTTATGAGGTTATTCAATGGTAGGCTTGAGGAAAAGCACAAATGTGGGCACACACACAAATTACCTTAATTTTAATAAGCTTCTGGGGGTTTCTTCTCCTACACAGGTTAACTTCAATGGTGCGTCTGTTTTTGGGAGCTGCCATCCAAAAGATACCATCTAAAAAGTTGGAGTCCTCTTTATTTCCACTGGTCTCATGTGCTAGTTCTGTGAGTATGGACGGGCCCTGGACTGCTAATGCTGGTGCTGTCAAAACAAGAGATATGAATCAACTTCTAGTTCCTAAAAGACTATTTGTGGAGACTGTTCTCTTTAATAATCAACATGTCACTAGACATACACACCTATGTGTTATGTGTGTGTATGTATACACACATAAAGGTCAGAGGACAGCTTTCAGAATTAGTTCACTCCTTATTCTACCTTGTAGGTCTTGGAGCTAGAACTCAGGTCTTAAGGCTTGGCAGCAAGGCCCTTTACTACTGAGCCATGTGGCTGGCCTGACAAACATAGTTTAGAATGTTAAATTAAACAAATATGAATACTAAGCCCCAGCTATTCAAAGATACTAAAGCTCACACAAAAGGCGATTTAAAATAATTCAAATGGAATGTTTTCTTATTCCAACCTACTGAAGCAATTGGTCTATTAAGCATTTTCTCACTTTATGCAATACAGGAAGGACACTGTGGATTAGTAGTAAATAATGTATAAGTAAATCTAACTGTAAGATTCCTTACATGCACTTTCACTAGATGATTATACTGGCCATCATCTGACCCATATTCAGACCCAATTAGCTCCTTTAGGAGCCTTGTATGCATCTTATATTTTTGGTTGTGAGCCTAGCCTTCAACGGCTGAGCCATCTCTCTAGCCCATCTTTTATGTTTCTAAAGTCATGAAATTCTTCCTTAATATTTAATCTTGACCTGTGTGCTAAGAAAAAGGAGTTTTATTATTTATGAGAATATCGAGTGTTTCAGTTTTGTTTCTCTAAACTGCTTAGAAAAGGACTCCTTTACCCTTCCTATTGTTCTTCAGACCTGTAACAGATCACTCTATTCTTTGGACTTCTTACCAGTACATGCTGAAATCCCAGGCCTGACATCCCAGAAATGAGGAGGTCGAGACAGGAGGATCAAGCTCGTATGAGCAGACTGGACATGCATAGGAGACCTTGTCTCATTACCACCCCCCTCCCGCCCCCAATAATCCCCAAAAGAGTAAAAAAAGCTTTCTACACTGGCATTCTGTCTCAACAGACGTTAAGTTTTGCTACACATAGCCCAGTCATTTATAACAGCTCTGGACTGCCTTCGTGACTTTGGGGATTTCTTGGTTTATTAGACAATGAATGGATCGAAGTGATCTCTCAGGTAGCACATGGAGACAAATATTTATTACACGGTGTTTTGTGATCTAATAGAATATATTTCTGTTAAGATTCTCTGGGTATCATCACTCCTGGGATATGCTGTAAATGCTAAGGCAATTTAAAATTTAACAGACAAGACATAGTAGCTCGAAGCTAACCTGGGCTACACAGTGAGTTCCAGACCACTCTTAGCGACAGACAGTCCCCCTCCTCCCCACAAGGAAAAACAAAATCAAACAAAAACCCGTGCACTGTCTCTCTCATACAACTCGGAAGCCCCCGCCAACCCACTCCCCACGAACTGTCTCCTCACGGACCCCACTGAGGGCTGGCAACGCCATTCCAGCTCCGCTTCAGTTGCTGCAGCAGCTCCCAGCACCTCCGGAGCGGACGCGCCGGCCACGGGACATTCAGCAGCAGCAAAGCAGACGCCATGTTTCTCACTGGAGTAGGTTGCATGCTGGGACCGGGCGCAAACCTCCCACTCCCCCGCCTCCCTGCTCAGAGCATGCGCAGGCCGCTCCTGCGCATGCGTGGGGACTCAGAGCCCGTCTGCCTCAGATGCTCAAACTCAAACTCCCAGCTGCCCCTGGAGCGCTTCTGACTCTCATCCAATCAGAGAAAAGAGAGAATTAAAGGAAACAGACGCACTGCGCATGGGCGTGGCTGCTTTCCGACTTCCCGGGTAAAGATGGCAGAGCGCGGTTACAGCTTTTCGCTGACTACATTCAGGTACCCGGGGGACCCCAAGTTCCACACATCAGGTCCTAGGAGCGCCCCAGACCTGGTCCCCGTGTCCTGGATCTGGCTGATGTTTCCGCAGGGCCGCGTGCGGATTGAGCTGAACTCGCATCTTTGCAGAGTCATGTGGGTGCCAGGCCTGGGCCCTCGGATCTGGAGGCTCCGAGCCAGGCATTGGCTTTCCCTCTGTAGATTAGAAAAAGAATGCTTTGCGATAGCCTGTTTACAGCTGGTCCATTCAGGACTAGGAATTCCTTCCTGGCCCAGATAGGTCTGAGCGGGAGCTTGGGAAACTGACATGAGACGCCCTTTTTCTTTTGGGAAATCCTTTACGGTTCAGTGGGAGCCTTAGTCTTCCGTTTAGCAACAGTGTACTTTGAAGTTCACTCTGCTTTCGGTTTCTACCATGCTCCTATAGAAGTCTAAGAACTACAAAATGAAAGCTGATTTCCTATCAGGTTTTCGTGGTGCACTCAGACTGATAAGCTAAAGTCGATGTTTTGCTTCACTCATCACAAAAAGATTGCTTTAAAAAGATTTTAGACCTTACTGTTATGGGACACAGAGAGTTAAATATATGTACTTTGTTTCCTGTTTAAGATATTTCATTACAGAAGAATTTAGACAAACGGCTATGGTTTGACCATTTTCTTAAGGGTCCAACTGAAGGCAACTAGGATCTACTTGTTGCATTTAACTGTGGCTTTCCACTCTCGCCTATAGACGACGAGTTACGGATGAGCTAACGTAGCTGTGTCGATATTCAAACTTTGTTCGTTTTGAAAATAAAATGAGTATACTTTTCGTTACAATATATTGTCTTTTGAAAGATTCCCTTTTTGTAGTTTCAAATAAGAAGTGAGGGTATGCAATTTTGTTGTATTTGTTTTGGAGATTTTGAGTGAATTCCACTTAATTCCTTAATAAATGATTTATCTACTATGGCAGAGACTAATTATGCATGGTAGCCACTTATATTTAGAAACAAAACAATAATAAGGTTTTAAGTGTGGTCTCACTGGAGCTGAAATGAAGGAGTATAGATCATAAGGAACTAGAAAATTTTTCGAATTTCTTTTTGAGACAGTCATTTGTTTAAAATGGCCAGTAACCTTCAACTGATCATCCTGCCTCTGCTTCCCTGGTGATGGGATTCTAGTAGTGCACTACCATACTTGGTTTATGCTGTGTCATGCATTCTAGGCAAGTATCCTACCAAAGGAGCCACATCCTCACCCTCTGATTCTTTTATAACAAACATCTGAATGTTTTCAAAACAGATTTCTTTACTATAACAACTCCCCCCTTTTCTTTATAAACATGATAAGGTTTAACTGTTTAGGAAGAAAACATTGTTTTCAGTTGTAAAACTGTTAGTGGTGGTACAAGCTGACAGAGATGGGAAATGAAGCAACTTTTCTTCCAGCTTACATTTGGCTGAAAATGATAAATGAGCAAAAGAAATTGGCGCCTACTGCACAGTGTTTTTCTGTTCCTGGAAATTTTTATTGAAAGAGATAGGAGTACAACTTCAGACCGAGCTCTCAGGAAAGGCCTGTGCTTGGTGATTTTTGAAACTAGAAGATGAGAGAGAGCTGGCTGCTTGAAGTTTAAGAATAAAGAGATAAACCATGTGAGGAAGGAAGTGATATAGATGGAGCCAAACATATGGGTTAGACCAAAGAACAAGAGTGCACCCGCCAGAGTAAGTAATTTTTGTTTTAGCTGAACCAAGAAGTTAATGTGGGATTTATGTCAGAGTAAGGTACAAAGGTAGCTGCCTCAGAACTGAACACGAGAAGAACAGTAATTCCCAGCCTATTAAAATTACCTCAGGTAGACACTGGTCTACCAGGATTACTGACTACAGAAGCTGCTTGATCGATCAGTACACTAAAGTCAGGGCAGGTGATGTTGACAGAGGCAGTTGTAGTAGTGCTTTACTTGCCAGAGCTGGGGGAAGACAATAGCAAAGCAAAAGAAAGAGAATTACTGCCCCACCTGAGACTGTCCAGGTCCTTTAAGTGTAGTTTCCTAACAACTTCATGGCAGATCTCAAAGGCCAGCATGTTTGGTTAGCGAGATTTGACCTAATGTCTTCCTCCTGTCAGGAGTGCCTATAATAAATATTTGGAAGTGTGTAAACGTAGCAAGTACCTTTTGTTCTTTTTAAGCCCATCTGGTAAACTTGTCCAGATTGAATATGCTTTGGCTGCTGTGGCTGGAGGGGCCCCTTCAGTAGGAATTAAAGGTAATTAAATGTTTCTTTCACTTTGGATGCTTGTTAATAGTTACCTGAAATAGATTCTTAACAAGTCTTTTTGTTAGATTAGAGAATTTTGAAATTTAAAGAAAATAGCATTCAACTGCTTAAATTTCACAGCAAATATAGCATTTTAATATGTAATCCATAAGTAGTCTTTCCCTCAAGAAACAGTTTTATGTTTTTGAGTCTCTTTCTCTGAAAGTTTTATTTATAAAGGACTAATTGTAAAACATCTAAAGTTAAAATTACTGTATGTTTTATTATTCTTAGAGAAAAATTTCTTATTGTTTATGTTAGAATAGTTAAAGAAATTTATTGTTTTAAAAGTAGTAAACTTGAAAGTGTTGAGAGGGACTGGGTAATACCTGCCTCTATGGGAAGTAAGAATTGAAAAGGGGGGAGGCATAATAATTTAGAGAAAGCAACAAATTTGTTTAATGCATCTTTAAGTAGAAAGCTAATGATGAACACATAATATTTTTCCCCCTCTTTTTAGCTGCAAATGGCGTAGTATTAGCAACTGAGAAAAAGCAGAAATCCATCCTGTATGATGAAAGGAGTGTACACAAAGTGGAACCGATTACTAAGCATATCGGTTTGGTGTATAGTGGCATGGGCCCAGACTACAGGTATTACATACTGTTTACTGTGTTTTCTCATCATCTCATATCAGTCCTTCTTTGTGGTTGTTTCATTTAGTCCTGGCAGCCTGATGATACTTTAGTTTGCCTGTAAGGGTTACTTTTTGGAAGTTGATATTGTGATACACAGTTGTAAAAGAGGTGGTAAATTACATACTTACTTGTTTTTTCTCATCACTATCCCATTTCCTCTGTCCAAGGACTTGGTAGGAAGAGCTTTTGTGTTCTGATGCACCTTAAAAATGTTCAAATGCATTCATGTTTTAGTAAAATATTGTTAAGGTGATTGAGGCAACAAGGGAAAGCTTGAGACATCTAGAGTTAACCTCATTCTGTTTATTTCTGCTCTTGTCAAAGGGACAAATGTATTTAAGGCCACTGAAGGCTTCTGAGTGGCCACCCAAGATTTATAGACTTACAGAATCGCTCCCTTTGTATTTCACTGGGAAAGAGAGTATCCGTGTTATACCGGGATACCAGTAAGTTGAATGAGATTGATCTAAAAACAAAATTACTTAATTTTATGAAATAAGAGTTTCACTTGGAATTATAAGTCAACAGAGTTACCAGAATTTGATTAGCTTCCTTGTTGTGGAAAGTTCTTTACCACTGTGTAGACTGGACACTGCAGTGGACTATTGCTGATAAAATAAACTTAGGAAGTAAGAATATGTGTGTCTTAGAGAGAATGTGCAAATTTCAGATAAGTAGGCACGAGCTGATGAAGATAAATAATCTTTGTCTTAATATATTTGATTACTATATAATTGTACTTGTCAGTGTTCTCTGAAGGAAGAGAACTGAGAGAGAGAGAGTGTGTGTGTGTATTTGAAGATATTGTATACACACACATATACACACACTTTGTTTTCTCTGTGGGGTTTATTTGACTGACTTCCAGGCTGTGGTCTGGGTAGTCTAACTGGTTGAATGATGGCAGAAAGGCTGAAAATGTGATAGTTGTTCAATCCATGATGCTGGGCATCTCAGCAGTACCAGTCTGGTACTAGAGTCTTGAGGATTTCTTCAGAGCTGCTGGTCTTTAGTCTTTGTTGAAATTCTGAAGAAGTTGTCTTTAATACTGATCGCAGCAAGATAGACACTGTCCAGCTAGAGTGAGGAAAGAAAGCTAAAAGCAGTTTCTTTGTTCTGTGACCTTTTTATCTGGGTTGACACCACCAGATTTAGGGTATGGGTCTTTCTGCTTCAAATAATCTGATTTTTAAAAGCACTTGCAACATCTTGGATGTCAGTTAATTCCAATTGTAGTCAGGTTGACAACCAAGATTAACCATCACAATAGTACATTTTCATACCTTATGTAAAATGAGGTTTCTCACTGTTTGTTTAATCTCAGAAGGCTATTCTAGATTGAGACAGAGTTTAAGGGATACTATAGAAAACAGATTTAGGGACAGAAATATGCCCAGAATTGAATGCGTGTATTCATATGCATCTATGTTTGGGGCGTCTGAGTGAAGTATACATAGACTACCCTCAAGACAAGGTGGGCAGTTTGGTAGAAGTTATAGTAGGAGACATGAAGCTCTCATTTTATAAATTAAATCTGTTACCTTTATATGGTGTATAGATGTGTTGCCTGCATATATATCTGTACTGTGTGCTTACATTGCTCCCAGTGGCCAGAAGAGGGCATTGGATCTCCTGAAAATGGAATTTAGATGGCTGTGAGCCACCATGTGGGTGCTGAGTGTTGAACCTGTGTCCTCAGAAAGAGCAGCCAGTGCTCTTAACTGCTAAGCTATCTCTCCAGCTTTCTTTACTATCTGTACTCTAGTCTCTAGTCCTTCTCTTTCTGTTTGCCTTGTGTTGTAATTCTCTGTTTCTTTTCTAAACCCACTGGAATCAGGTGTCAAGAGACTAACTCTGATAGCTGTTAAAGAGAGCACATATGTTGTGTGTGCTTTTAGAAGAAAGTTTTGGGCTAATTAGTAGTGTCTTACTCTATTTTTTTTTTTTTTTTTTTTTTTTTTTTTTTATTGCCTTAGAGTGCTTGTGCACAGAGCTCGGAAACTTGCCCAGCAATACTATCTTGTGTACCAAGAACCCATTCCCACAGCCCAGCTGGTACAGAGAGTAGCCTCTGTGATGCAAGAGTATACCCAATCAGGGTAAGTTGGTTTTATTACTTGAAGAAATGTATCATGAATTTGAAGAAGAAAAAAACATTGTAAAAGAAAACAGATAAGTAGGAGTCTTCTTTCTGTATTTGAAGAAAATCACCATAATAATGAATGTCGCTGATTTTACCTGGAAATAATTTAAGATAAAAATGGTGACTGTATATTATGGTGCACACCTGTAAACTGAGTACTTGGGATACTCAGGGAGGTAGATCACATATTCAAGACAAATCTAAGTTACATAGATACTGTCTCAAAAGGAAGAAAAAGGGAAAAAGAGAATGTGTTCTGATTCCACAGCAGAGTGAAGTGTCTTTATTTTAAAAAAGGCCCTTGGCCAGTGATTCTGTATAGGCAGTCATTAGTGCCTCTGTACTTAGTTTTTCAACCTAAAGTAATTGTAAGCATATGAAAACAAGAATAACATTTTAACTCCAGTACTTTTTTTTTTAAAGAATTATTTGTTTTGTATTTTATTTATGTGTATGGGTGTTTTGTCTTCTTGTGTGTCTGCACACCAGAAGAGGGCATCTGATTCCATGAAAATTGTATGAGACTGCAGTTATCTAGTTGTGAGCCATCATGTGGTTGCTGGTGATTGAGCTCAGAACCTCAGGAAGAGCAGCCAATGCTCTTAGTTACTGAGCCATCTGTCTTTCTCTCCAGCTCCAGCTATTTATTAAATTTGTTAGGATGCATTTCTCCATGCTTAGATAGTAACACATTTTTAGGTGTGTGTCTTATTCTACTTTGTGTTATTCTAACAAAATATCTGAAATAGATTTTGTTTAGTTCAGAGTTCTTTGTGTCCAAGGATTTGGCTCATAGTTGTACAATTTGGGAAGGTTTTTCTGGCAGATAGCATTGCATAGCCAGATCACACAGTAAGAGAAAGTAAGAAAGTGGGTGTACTCCATAGAAACTTTACAACACCTAACCCACTCTGAGAAACAAGCATTATTAACCTTACCCAGGATGTTACCACATTCTGCCTCTTGACACAATTTTGTAATTATGTTACACTGAGAAGTACTTTCTCATGAACTTTTGGGAACCAAACCATAGCTGGGTTGCTATGTCATTTAACTAAGGCTCATTGCTGTTCCTAACTGTAATAAGAATTCATTTTAAGTGGGTTAAAGTTAGGAAATCTAACTCACTTTACGTGGTACTTTGCTTTATTTGTGAGTATATATGAATTCTTTATCCCAAGTCATCCTCATTTTCTTTCTATAGTGGTGTTCGTCCATTTGGTGTTTCTTTACTTATTTGTGGATGGAATGAGGGACGACCATATTTATTTCAATCGGATCCATCTGTAAGTATCGTTACATATATTTAAAGCATTTATTAGAATTGCTCCTTATATATCTAATAAATATTGAAACCATATAACTTTAAAATTTAGCAGAATTTTTTATTTTTTTTTTTTACTTTTTAATGATTTATTTTTTACCTTCAATTATGTACTTACATGAGTGTCTGTGTGGGTGTGTACATTGAACTGTAGGCGCCCATGGAGGCTTGAGAAGGCAGATCCCACTGAAGCCTGAGTTACAGGTAGTTGAGAGCCACCTGACTTGGTTCTGGGAGTAGAATTTGGGTCCTTTCTAAGAGCTGTATTCACTATCCTAACCCTAAGCCATTGCTCAAGCGCTTTCACTTCTTTTTTTTTTAGAAAGTTTAAAGTAGAATACATTTGTTTGCATATTCAGCATTTTTGTAGCACTTTCTTTGCTAAGGAAGCTATGTGCCACATTAGTTTTTGCCCTTTTTTGCTCATATTTGTTCACAGATACTGGAATGAGTTGTTGTCGCTACCAAATTTTATTAGGTCTCTCTCGAGCTGTTATTTTGGCAAACACATCAGTCTGATGTATACCAGGAAGAGGCCACTGGTACAGTCTTTGCCATCAATTTGATGCTAGGGCTATTTTAAGTATGAGTCTCATCTTGAATTCAGTGATTTACAAAATGATTGTGTAACAAGTGTCTTAACTGAGCTAGAAGGTTGGTATCTAGGTATTTTCCATATTGTTCCACTTGCTGTGAGGAGAAGCCTAAGAGAAAGCTCAAGAATAGGGAATGAATTTTTGTTTATAAATTATTAGGTGATAGCAGGTTCTCTCAATGTAAGCCTTACACTCTTAAAAACTGAAAAGGCAAAATAAAAGTCAAGGGATTGTGAGAGCATCTGTGAGTTTCTGAAGGTCAATGGCCTGGCATGCAGTCTTGCCTTCCAAGCCAGGAGAGGGAGGCAGTGTGTGGGACTGTATTTATCCCTTGCTCTCCTTTTCCTTACTGACTCTAAAAGGCATTGGCTCACACAATGAGCTTTCCTCTATGTGCATGTCTTTGCTTTTCCCAGATGAGGCTGTTACATAAAGGGCTTCTTAAACATTCCACTTGCTACCCTTTTTCACCCAGTAAAGTTATTTGTAACCCTGGTAAATATAAAATGCATACACAAGTCAAATATTGACAATAAATCACAAAGAAACTTATTTTACAACAGTTCTTTGGTGTACATATAATTTTTACCTTTTATTGAAAACGAGCAAGTTTGCATACTAATGAGATAGATGGGTTTGTTTATTTTTACAGAAAGAATAAATCATTATAGACTACTTAAATCTACAGGCTCTTGGAGTTTCAGAGTTATTATTTTGATTTTATACTTGTCAATGCTTAAGGATACTACTTCTCTTCAGAAATGGCAGAAAATGCTTAGGACTATTTTGAAAATTCTTGGAAATTCTAATCCCATCTAAAATCACTTAATAGTTCTTTTAATGAAACTCAAGCCAGCAACCCAAACATTTAAAATTCTAATAGTGGCATCTAGGCTGAGGAATGATGATACAAAAACATTGTCCTTTATTTCTTATAATTAAGTCATTATGCTTCTATAAAAGTAGAAAATGTGTTTTGAAGCACAGTGAAGCACACACTCCCCGACATAGATCAGTCTCAAGTCAGTGTTGGTTGGTGTTGTGTGGCATGATGGCAGTGCAGAAGACACTTGCATATTCAGAGCCAAAGCTGTGGTGGAGTCACTCAGGTAGTGTGGGAGAGAACTGCTAAAAACACCTTGGATTCTTTGCACATTGACTTTGAATCAGTTTTTGTTTGTTAAATATTTGGAAAGTCAGGTCTTTCATGACCCTATTAAAATATTCAAAGGTTCTGATACTTTGAATGAAAAGCCATCTCTGTTTACTAAAGTTGAGTGATTCCGTTTTCAGGATAATGTGACAGTTTTTGGTCCATTCAATCTAAAGTATATCTTACAGTAATTGCTCTAGCTCATTATCATTGTTTGATGAGTTTTGATTTGTATGTATATACCTGAGTAAACCATTACCACAGTGAAAGTGAACAATTTTGTCTTCCTTCATGACTCCTTGTCATCTGTTTTATAGCTGTTAAAACTATTCTGTGGAATTTCCACTCAATTTCAATAACTAATCATGACTTTAGAAGCTAGAGGCCAATTAGAGTTAAATTCAGATATCAGAGTAATAGAGTTGTGTGGATGTTTTAAAATGTTTGTCTCCTGATCAGGGAGCCTACTTTGCCTGGAAGGCCACAGCAATGGGGAAGAACTATGTGAATGGGAAAACTTTCCTCGAGAAGAGGTAGGTGTCCTGAGACTGGATGATTGGTTTCATGGATCTAACAGATTTGTTGTATCATTCTGTATTTGAGTCTTAATTAGAGATAAAGGAGAAAACGTCCTAATATCTTGATTTCCTAGTCTTCAGTGTATTTATGGTAATATTACTCATTTTCTGGAGATACTGCTCAACCTTGTTTCATTTTTAAAATATTTATTTGGTGTTTGGGGGTGACTGAGTCAGGGTTTCTCTTGGTAGCCCTGGCTCTTCTTAAACTTGCCATGTAAGCCATGTTTCTAACTCTTGGGGATCCACCTACCTCTGCTTCCTGAGCGGTGTGCTGTCAGTGTACCCAGCCATTGGTTGTTTCTAAAATGTTTACATTTTAGTTCATTTCTCCCATTGTGTTTTTTAAAGAGCCATTGTATTTAGAGTAGAAAGATACTTAATAATGACTTGAAAAGTAAAAATTGAGATAGCTGGATGTAGAGGCCCAAGCCTGTAATTCCAGCAATTGGGAGGCTAAGTTGGGAGAATTACTTCGAGTTAAGGCCAACCTGGACTACAGAGTGGGCTCTGGTCCAGATCACACGTATGTGTAAGAATGGAGTGCTGAATAAAATTTGCTATCAGTGCTGAGCACACAGCTGTTTCACTTACAGCTGGATTCCAGACTCGGTGTTGTCTTTGTCCTCCATTGACTGATATTTTGGACAGGAAGTTTTATAGCTGAGGTCTAATAGATGATCCTTCTTTGTATATTTTTCATATAATATTCATCTTATGGTTATTAAAGATCTTAGACTTTTAGTCAAATTTTAAACTCAACCTTGAAATTTTACTTATTAATAAGTCTTCAGCATGCTGTTAATACTAATGGTAAAGAATTTTAGCAATAGTCTGATTTATTGTAGTATTGCTAAAGCATACAGATTTCCTTTTTTTTTTTTTTAAACAATGAAATTCTTTTCATGGTAGGTATTAAAAGTTCAGTAGAAGTGTCACTATTATTTGGGAACAGTTCTCTCACTGAGATGATTAGGGGATGTTCTTACAACTTAGTACTTTTAAGATGATTAAATTTTTAAAAGATTTCATGTTTTTGCTATCTTTATTAAAATAGCCATGATGAATATAAACTGTGCCATAGTATCATTATTTCTCAATATTTTCTTTAGATATAATGAAGACCTAGAGCTGGAAGATGCCATTCATACAGCCATCTTAACTCTAAAGGTTAGCTCAATGTCCAGTGATGCTTTTAAATTGATGGTTGTTCCAATGAATTGCTCAGGAAATTGACCACTTTCCTTCCCTCCTCAATTAGGAAAGCTTTGAAGGGCAAATGACAGAAGATAACATAGAAGTTGGGATCTGCAACGAAGCTGGCTTTAGGAGACTCACCCCCACTGAAGTGAAGGATTACTTGGCTGCCATAGCGTAATAAAGATGTGCCTCAACAATCCTGATCTCACACAGTCTATCCAATCTATCTACTTATTCATGTTTAAAGTATGTTTTGTTTGTGCAGACTTATTTCTACATGGTTTAATGGATTCACATTTTTAAAATAACAATCATAATAAACTGTTAAAACCAATTTCTGGTTTTTAAGAATAAGGTTTGAACATACTTCTTTCTCACTTTATCAGATGATTTTGGAAATTACATTGCAAAATAGAGTGATAAAATTCGCTCTAATTTTCATATATTTTCGTTATTAGAGCTCATTGCCTCATTTACTATCAAATATACCTGTCTCCATAAAAGGTAGTTATGGGTTTTAATGTACATATTGGTTTTTAGAACTGAGAGAGTCTGTGTACTTTGATGAATTCATGAGACAGGCTATGTATGTATTATGTTACATACATATGTTCGTTTGGGTGTGGATTATTGAGGTCCTGGAGTATTCTGCAGTTACACTACAGCCATGGAGTATTAAGCAACATTGGTCTCTTGGAGATATGTGAGTAATTAATCCTGTTTGTTTCTCCATCTCATGTAGATAAACATATTTAAAAGGATTCCCTAGATTATGTAAAAACATTTTTTTTATTTTACATGTCGATCCCAGTTCCCTCTCCCTCCCTCACTTCCTCCTTCTTACCTTCTCTGCCCCCTCACATGTGCCTTGACCACCCTCTCCTCCCACCCCCATTCCACATGTAGGACCATGCCATCCAGGTGGGGCATGTAAATCAGTCAAGTCATTTGAAGTAGGGACTAGGGCTTCTCTCCTGTCTCTAGGTTAAGGCAGTATCCCTCCATGGGGGATGTGTCCGCAAGGCCCTTTTGTGCACCAGGGATAAATACATCCTGGTTCCACTGAGGTCCCTTAGGCTTCTCAGTTCTTCTAGCTGAGACCCATATTCAGGGGGTCTCAGTCAGTCCCATGCTGGATTCCCAGCTATCAGTCTGGGGGCCAGTCAGCTCCTCCTTGTTCAGGTCAGCTGTCTCTATGTGTTTCTGCAACCTGGTCTTGTCCTCTCTGCATCTGGATTCTAGTTAGACTCAGTGTTTAGTTATGGATGTTGCTTCCAACAGGTATTAGATGAGGGCTCTATGATGGTGGATAAGTTAGTTGTTGATCTCACTATCAGGGAAGGGCATTTATGGTAGCTCAAATTGTTAGTTGGAGTCTTGTAGGTCTCTAGACCTTTCTTTAGGTTCAGTTTTCTCTTCAATAATGGCTCCCTCTTTTATGTTCTCTCTCTCTCTCCCCCCCCCCCCCCCCCCGTCTTCTATTACTACCCTTACTCAATCTTCCTAGTTGTACATGCTTTCCTCTGCTCCCCTTCTCTTTCTCTTCTCTCTCCATTCACTGTACCACCCCCCCCCCCACTTCCCATGTGCTTTGGGGCACTTGTCCCCCTTCTGTGAGGGACTTTATATGAATATCTTAGAATACACCTTGTATCCTAGTTCCTCTGGTGGTGTGAGTTATAGGCTGATGATCCTTTGCTCTAGGTCTAAAATCCATATATGAGCAAGTACATACCATGTTCCTCTTTTTGTGACTGGGTTACTTCATTCAGGATGGTTTCTTCAAGTGCCATCCAACTGCCTGTGAATTTCAAGATTCCATTGTTTTTTTCCGCAGAGTAGTATTCTATTGTGTAGATGTGCCACATCTTCTTTATCCATTTTTCAGTTGAGGGCCATCTAGGTTGCTTCCAGGTTCTTGCTATAACAAATAATGCTGCTATGAACATAGTTGAGCACATGTCTTTGTTGCATGGATGTGGATTATTTGGTATATGCCTAAGAGGGGGATTCCCGGGTCCTGTGGTAAACTGATTCCCGTTTTCCTGAGGAACCACTATACAGATCTCCAAAATGGCTGTACGAGTTTGCACTCCCACCAGCAGTGGAGGAGTGTTCTCCTTTCTCCACATCCTCTCCAGCATAAGTTGTTATTGGCGTTTCTAATTTTGGCCATTCTGGCAGAAGTAAGATGGTATCTCAAAGTTGTTTTGATTCGCATTTCCCTGATAGTTAAGGATGTTGAGCACTTTCTTTAGTGTCTTTTAGCCATTTTGATTTCCTCTATTGAGAATTCTTTTTTCAGTTCTGTACTCCATTTTTAATAGGGTTATTTGGTGTTTTATTGACCAGTTTTCTTGAGTTCTTTGTATATTTTGGAGATCAACTCTTTGTCAGATATAGGATTAATAAAAATCTTTTCCCAGTCTGTGGGCTGCCGTTTGGTCTTGTCCACTGTGTCCTTTGCCTTACAGAAACTTCTAAATTTGAGGAGGTCCCATTTATTAATTGTTGATATCAGTGTCTGTGCTCCTGGAGCACAGTTATGTTCAGGAAGCGGTCTCCTATACCAATAGTTCAAGGATACCTCCTACTTTCTCTTCTAAGAGAAAGTGTGGCTGGATTTATGTTGAGGTCTTTGATCCATTTGGACTTGAGTTTTGTGCATGGCGACTGACATTGGTCTATCTGTAGTCTTCTACACACCATCATCCAGTTGTGCCAGCACCATTTGTGGAAGATGCTTTCCTTCCCCCATTGTATTCTTTTAGCTGGTGAAAACATTTCTTAAGGGTAAATATAAATGCTGGTAATAAAATACTAGGGTCAGAACTGCACCCCCTCTTTAGTGTGAGAACAACAGTCACTGTAAGTAGGTCCTTAGCAGCCAGCATGTAGTTAGGCATTTAAACCCATTTCCTTTGTGGAAGCCTGTTACATAATTTTGATTGGGTTTCTCTCCTTAGGCAACTTAGAATAAAAGGCACTCTGAACAGACTGTTTATGACCAGTATGCACAGGGGACCAGTTCAATGACTTAAATGTAATTGGAGAGGTTTTGACCAACAAAGTTTAGAAACACGTAGCATAATCTTAGAATATTTTTGGACAAGATACACTGTTTTGGTTTCTATTGTCACAATGCATTCCTGCCTTGTTAATGGGAGGCAGTAGCATTTATTTATTTATTTATTTTTCTTTCAGTTTCAAGGGGGAAAGGTGGGACAGGGCAGGTAATGGAAGATGGGAGCCCTGGAGGAGCAAGTAGGCTTAGAAAAAACACTTAATAATGGGGGCTATCTTTTGTTGCACTTTAATCGGGTACGCTTTTTTTTTTTTTTTTACCTTCATCGCCATAAACTTATTTCTGGGGCAGGATAAGGAATGGACCAGCTACACCAGATGGAAGAGAGGACTCTGGTTTGTTCTCAACAGTATGTTTTTAATTCTGTCTCGCACCTGAAATTCCAAAGCCCTGAGTTGGCTTGATAAACCCTGACAGGTGTTTTGAGCTGTGCTGGAGGCATGCAAACCCAGGGGTTGCCTGGGTTTAAATAACTTGCCTGTGGCTCTGCTGCAAAATTCATCTATCCACCAGTCTGTTTAGCACTAAATAAATCAGTGTGTGAAGTACTTAGCATAGCGCTGGCCGCCAGTAAGCACCGGTAGAGACATTGCTCCCGTTTTAAGATGATTTGGGTAGTGGGATTTGTAGTTACTTCAATCCTGCAAGTAGCACTTGGCACAAGGAGCAGCACGCAAGAAAAAGATGACAACCTAAGTCTCAATTTCTTTTCTGGGTAACTCCACTTGGCTATGTAGCTCTCTGCGGTGTTCGGTCTGACAGCACATTTAAAGGCTCCTCTGTAAGGGCCAGGATGGTGCAAATAAAAGTGCTTCCGAGAGCCGTTTGGAGCCTCTGATGGCTCTCCGGTTTTCGTTAAAAATAACCAAACCTGAGACCCAAATGAGTTGTGCCATCCAGAAGAATGGGACCCAGCCCTAGCCCCGCCTCTGCTCCCCAGCAACTCAGCTTTCAGTCACACATGGTGCCCTCAACAAATATGGCCGCCGCTCTGCCGCCCGGGACTCTCGAGCTCAAGCTCACCGGGCCGGAACCACGTAATGCCGGAGGCGGGGCTCAGCAGGCGGAGTGTGTCTCAGCAGAGCAAGGTGAGGGCTGGTTGCTGAGCTGTCCCCGCATATTGCCTCTGTGTGCCCTCACCGTGTGCGCGTGGGGTCTGGCGCTGCTGGTGAGGATCCGGGGACTGAGTGGGGAAGAGGGAGGTGGGAAGAGAGGGAGGGGCTGGGCCGGGTGTCCCCATTGGAAGGGTCAGTTCTGCGTCTTCCCTATTCTGGCCTCTAAGCACTGGGCCAGCAGGAGCCTGTTTGATCCGGACCTGTTGGGTCAGGCTCAGCTGTGCAGGTGGACTTAACGGGATGAGAACCATACCCATCCAGAAGCACCTCACCCCTGGAACCTCCCACCTTGCTGTAGCCCAGTAGCCATCCTGGCCACCCTGCTATGCTCTTTTGAGTCCCTCTTCCAGCCCTTCAGAAGGGAAGTTGATTGTCCCCTTTGTTCTTTTAAAAACATGCAAGTTGACGTCACATGCAGGAATCACGCAGTCTTGATTCCTTGGCATTTGTACCCAATGGAGATAAAGAGGCAACTCCTTAAAAGACATTTATCCTGGTGTGACGGTGCACACGTTTAATCCCAGTACTTGGGAAGCAGAAGCAGGCAGATCTCTGAGTTCAAGGCCAGCCTGATCTCCAAAGGGAGTTCCAGGACAGCCAGTGCTGTGTAGAGAAACAAAACCATGGAAACAAAGATTATCTACCGAGGGAGTAAAAAGTGAGAGACCCTAGTATTGCCAGTTTAGGACAGACTCTTGCTTTGGACAATTTGTGTCTTTTAATGTTAAAATGATTGTTTTTTTTACATAAAGCAACAACAGTCATTTGAGAATTTCATACCATATGTTTTGTTCATATTTGCCCTGGCTCCCCCAATTATTCTCAGATTTACCCCAACTTCCCACCCATCTACCACCACCTCTCCTTCACATAGTCTTGGATGTGTGATCTTCCGCTGGAGAGTGGGTGGCATGCTAGGGACTATATTCTTAGAGAAAACGCTCTTTACCTCTCCTGGCAGCTAAAAATTGCCACTAGTTGCCTGGGTAGGGGAGGGATTCTGAGCCCAACTCCCCTTTCCATGCTCGGTGTGGTCTGGCTTGTGCTTGCACAAGTTTTGTGCATGCTGTCACAACTAATAAATACAGCTGCCCTGTTGTGTTCAGAAGAGGTTTGCTTGTAGTCATCTAGTACTTCTGTCTCTGAGCCTAGTGAGGGTGTCATATATCCCTTTAGGGCTAAGAGCCATGGGGTCTTACATTCCCTGCACCTTGGCCAGTTGTCACTGTGTTAATTCCATCAGTTGCAAATAGAAGCTTCTCAAATGAGGGCTGAGAGATGCATTCATCTGTGGATATAATGGTTAGTCAATAAAAGTTTGTTTATTTATTATTAATTATTATTATTTTGTTTTTTTTTTTTTTTTTTTTTCAGACAGGGCTTCTCTGTGGAGCCCTGGCCATCTTGAAACTCACTCTATAAACCAGGGTGACTTTGAACTTGGGGATTTACCTACTGCTACTCCTGAGTGCTGGGATTAAAGGGGTGTACCACTACTGTTCCCTAGGAGTTAGTTTTATGCTATTTAGCAACATAGTAGTAAGCTTTCCTCTAGGGAGAATGACCTGCCTAGCATAGATTCTTAGCCTAATAATGATGCCTGGTATGGGTTCCATCCTGTAGGGTGGGCCTTAACTCCAACCATAAAGTGGTTGGTTACTCCCTTGATATTTGCTGCTATTGTGCGTGTGGGCACATCTTGCCAGGCTAGGCATAATAGTGACTCCAAGGATTTATAGCTGGATATTATTGAAGATTGCGTTCCCCTCTGTTAACCTGCATAATACCTTGCAGAACTATGAAAACTAGCCAGTAGGGTTGAAACTTTGAGGTCTGTAACAACTCCATTTCTCCGTGTTCTGTGACTCAAATTAGTGGTGTTTTCAGCAGTAGGGTCTTACTACCATCAAGTTCTGTATGGTGACCAAGAACATTGACAATACCCTGTAATGTCTGGGGTCTGTGAGGCCTCACTGGACAGCAACTCCAAAAGAAGTAACCCATTTCTGACACTGGGCTTTTTGTTAGCCTTGTGTCTAGTAGGGACATTGATGCTCTGTTGTAAGGTAATTACATTTTAACTCTTGGTGTGTGTGTGTAAACTTCAACATACTAGGTTTCCATGTGCCTTTTTGAAAGGTCATTAGTGGTCCCCCCCCCCTTTCCGGTATTTCCCTCCTATCCTACACTCCACTCTCACCCCAGCTTAACCATTTCTGTTCTATTTTTTACATTTAATCCTTAACACCAGTATATTCCATCTCTCCTCCCCTAAAAGCCCCTTCCTATGGCCCCTTAGTAATGTCCTGATCTCTGTAGGTATGTTTTCAGTTCCATATTTATTTTATACTCTAACACTTCTGTCAGGTGTATAGATGTTAATCTACGCCCACCCCCATTTTGTAGGCTGCCTCTTTACTCAGGTAATGGCATCTTTTGCCAACTAGAAACTTTTTAGTTTGAGGTTTCATTTATTAATTGTTCTTAATGTTTGTGTCACAAAAGTCCTGTTTAGAAAGTTCTTTCCTACGCCAATGAGTTCTAGTATGTTCTATCCTTTCTCCACTGTCAAAGTTAGGATATCAGATCTTAGGTTGAGGTCCTGGACCCATTTGGAGTTTAGTTTTGTGTAAGGTGATAGAGAAAGATCAAGTTTCATTCTTCTATTTTAGCTATCCAGTTTGACCAATACCACTTATTGAAGATGCTTTATTTTCTCCAGTGTCTTATTATTGGCTTTGTTAAAAAATCAAGTGGTTTTAGGAGTGGGAGTTCATATATGGGCCCACAATTTATTTTCCATTGATCAGTGAATTTGTTTTTGTTAGTGCTATGCTGTTGTCATAGCTATAACTCTGTGGTATAACCTGAAATCTGAGGTGATACCTTCAGCCATTTTGTCATTGTTTAGGCTAATGAAATTTAAGATTGTTTTTACAAATTCTGTAAAGAATTATTTTGGAAATCTGATGGTGGATATAAGCATTTTGCTTTCGGTAGGATAGTCATTTTCAAAATATTAATTCTACCAATCCTTGAGTGGTCTTCCCAACTTCTGGTATATCTCCATTATCTTTTTCCAGTGTTGAACAGGTTTTTTTTTTTGTTTTGTTTTGTTTAAATTTTTTCATGCAATATATTTTTATTATAGTTTTCCCCTTTCCAGATATATGCCCTCCATCCTCTCCTGCCCAACTTCATGTTCTCTCAAAACAACAAAAAACAAAGCACACAAAAAACATGGGATCCATATTGTTTTGGTCAGCTGTTCCCGAACGTGAGACTTGAGTTCACTCCATTGAAGAAAACTGGTATTTCTTTCCCAGATCTAATGAATTACAAATAGTTTCTTGGTAAGGGGTGGGGCTTTGTGCTCACTTCCCCTTCCCTGTACTGGGATTCCTCCGTCCTGTGTCTTGTGCATGCTGGTCCTTCTCTGTAGAGACAGGATTCTTACAGTCAGTCTTTAGTAGTCTGTTGGGGTGGGGGTGCTCAGTACTTTTCTAAGGCAGTGAATGCTGGTAGAATTGGCAATATGAGTGTTGGATCCCTGCCAGCTATGGGGTCCAGAAGGCAGGGATTCATGATCCTTAGGTGTGTCTCAGGGGTAGGTGGAATTCCTGGAGTTGCTACCTCTAGAGGTAGGTCCTCATCAGGTTTTAGGGATGGGTGTAGTTGGAGGAATGAGTCTGGTGTGTGCTTAGAGAAGAGGTCAGGTGTGCACATCAGAGATGTATAGAGCTGGCTGGGGTGGACAGAATTGAGTTAGTGGGTGAATCTAGGCTACCCAGCTAGGGATGGCAGGAGTTGCTGGCTCCCTACCTTAAAGTGGTATATGAGAAAGGGTGCTGGAAGGTAGGCAGGACACTTTCTCCTTAGGCAAGTTGTAGGAATGGGTGGAGTTGTTGGTGTGGGTCCTTGGATAGTAGTGTCAGTTGTAGTTGAAGGCACAGTCTGATGTCTTTCTGGAGAAGAGATGTAGGCAGTAGGGAGTGGAGCTGGCTAGAGTGGGTAGAGTTGAGTTGGGGGTGGGGAGACTTTTGGCAGGGATGTTGTTGGGATCTCCTAATGGAAAGAGTGTATGGGAGGTTATTTTAAACTTTTAATGTTGATGTTTGGGACCTTTAAATTTTTTCAGCAGCTGAATAGTAAGGTTAGTTATTTAAAGAGATAAAGAGTCCATTGCCAAACTCCTGCTTTTTATCCCGACATAGGACTTGCTGTGGATCTCATAGTCTGAAGAAATGAAGGTCTAAACAAGCATCAGAATCCAGCACACTCCAAGAAGAGTTTAGATGTACAACTTTCTTCAAGGGTCAAAGGAAGGAGACCCCCAAAATCCCATACACTGAAGCCGAGGTTCATATTCTCAATCTTCATTTTGTTGCTAGGTTGAACGTTTTAATCATCCTGGCAGTAGAAGTACATTGAATAATGCTGTCAGCATGTCTGCACACTCCATGCTCTCAGAAAGAATTGCCATAGCCAAGGAACTGATCAAGAGGGCAGAATCCCTTTCTAGATCAAGAAAAGGTGGCATAGAAGGTGGTGCAAAACTGTGTAGCAAACTGAAGGCAGAGCTAAAATTCTTACAGAAAATAGAGGCTGGGAAGGTAGCTATTAAAGAATCCCACTTACAAAGCACAAATCTAACACACTTGAAAGCCATTGTGGAATCGGCAGAAAACCTGGAAGAAGTTGTCAGTGTTCTTCGTGTTTTTGGTTACACAGACACCTTGGGAGAAAAGCAGACTCTTGTGGTGGATGTAGTAGCAAATGGAGGTCATACTTGGGTCAAAGCTATTGGCAGAAAGGCTGAAGCGCTGCATAACATCTGGCTGGGCAGGGGCCAGTATGGTGACAAAAGCATTATTGAGCAGGCTGAAGACTTCCTCCAGGCCAGTCACCAGCAACCAGTGCAGTATAGCAACCCTCACATTGTCTTTGCATTTTACAACAGTGTCTCTAGCCCCATGGCAGAAAAGCTGAAAGATATGGGCATATCTGTCAGAGGAGACATCGTAGCCGTCAACTCTTTGTTAAATCACCCTGAAGAGTTAGAATTGAGCGAGAGCGAGTCCGATGATGAGGGCCAAGAACTTCTGCAGGTGACAAGAGTAGACCGAGAGAATGTCCTGGCGCACGTTGCATTTCCAACAGAGATCAAGGTTGATGTATGCAAAAGAGTAAATCTGGACATTACTACTTTAATCACATATGTATCTGCCATGAGTTATGGAGGCTGCCACTTTATCTTCAAAGAGAAAGTACTCACGGAACAAGCGGAGCAGGAGAGGAAGGAGCAGGTTTTACCTCAGCTGGAAGCATTTATGAAGGACAAGGAATTGTTTGCCTGTGAATCTGCTGTCAAGGATTTTCAGTCTATTCTAGACACCTTAGGAGGGCCAGGAGAGAGAGAAAGAGCCACTCTACTAATTAAACGCATCAGTGTGGTACCAGACCAGCCTTCTGAGCGTGCCTTGAGACTAGTAGCCAGTTCAAAAATTAATAGCCGCTCATTAACGATTTTTGGGACAGGAGATACTCTGAAAGCCATCACCATGACTGCCAATAGTGGCTTTGTCAGGGCTGCCAACAACCAGGGTGTTAAATTCAGTGTGTTCATCCATCAGCCCAGAGCACTTACTGAGAGTAAAGAGGCTTTAGCTGTACCCTTACCAAAAGACTTCACCAATGAGAGTGTGCACTAGTGGTATCCTGTAAGTGTTGTCATGGAAATACATTATTTATACCAAAGGCTGGCCTTCTCGTCCATGTTGGGAGAAAAAAAGTTAATAGTAAAAGTAATATTTAAAACTCTTATATGTTTAAGTAGAAGTTTTTTGTGTTCTGCCTATTTAAGATTGATAAATTAGAAAAAAAAAAAAAAACCCAAGAGACCTTATTTATCTCTGCATTACATTACAAACTACACTATAGCAGGTAAGAACAGAAATATATCTGTGTAAGGCTTTCAGTCATCTTGTAATGCTTTTGTTTGCTTCAGAGGGCTCAGCCTTCACCACAGGTAATTGCATTTCATGGAATGTGGCTACATGACTCTTGACTTCATTAAATATCTGGAGAAAATTCTGAGGCCTGCTTTTCATTGTATTTATCAATTATGTCAACCGAAAGTGGAAAATAATAGTTATGTCCGATCCTAAAGTTGCTGCTTGTTATTAGTGAAAAGAAAATGCTAAAAAAAAAGTAAAACTAATATTACTAAAAGTTTTAAAAATTAAACTAAAACTAAAATTCTTATAGGAAGAAGAGAATATTTTTTAAATACTTAATTTTAAAAACAATGGCTTTGTGTCAGACACAGTCTAGTGGGCATGTTTACAGAGTGGATTTAGGTGAGTTGAAGCCTATCTATTTATTGGTGTGCCACTTGTCTCAGCTAAGATCACTGTTGCAGCAGCTTGGAGAGGAAGGGAGTTATTTGGCTCACATATCCAATAGGTTCAGGAAGATGAGGCAGGAACTCAAGCCAGCTGGGAACCTGGAGGCAGGAGCTGATTCAGAGGCCTTGGAGAAGTGCTGATTCTGGGTTGTTCCTCATGACTTGCTCAGCCTGCTTTCTTATCCTCAGGACCACCAGCCCAGAGGTGGCACCACACACAATGATGGCCTGGGCCCTCCCCGCATCAATCACTAATTAAGAAAATGCCCCACAGGCTTGCTTACAGCCCAATATTATAGAGGCATTTTTGCAGCTTCCTCTCAGATGACTTTAGGCTGTGTCAAGTTAATATAAAACTAGCCAGCACACTGCTGTAGAAAGAAAAGGTAGCCAACTGTCCTTCTAAGCTAAACCTAGACCATTGAAGGTAAAATATTTGGACAAGTTGAAAATTTTATTTTTAAAAATTTAGATTTTACTTTTAACAACCCTGTGTTGCAAGAATTTTGAATTATAAAAAAAAAAAAAAAACAACTACCTTATTTTGTTAGCTGATAGCAAGTGATTGTTGCATTATGTCACTCAAGAAATGGTGATGGGACAAAAACAAATGGTGGTGAGGATAGTGAATGATAGCAGCTTTTAATTAAAAGTAAATTTTGTGACTATAGTGTACGAAATACCTTATCATTCACAATAAAATAACTTAACAAGGCAAGTATATATTTCTCCTCAAAACTGGGAATTTGAGAGTAGCATTATCTTCACTAACTAGGAATTAGTATTGGAATTTGATCTGGGAGCCTGATCGCTATACTGTGCCAACTTTGCTGAGTCACAAGAAGGGAAACTCAATTTCAAGCACTCCAATGAATGAAAAATTAAATGCAGGGTGGCACTTCTCTGGGAAAAGAAATCGCTAAATGTATTTCCTCTAGGAAGAGCTATGAATTAGGTTTCAATTTTAGTGTGTATGTGTGGGTTGGGGGGGTATTGTCTAGTTTCAGAAATAAAATTTAGAATTTTGAGTACATTTTAAAGGCAGTGATTCTCAATATGTGGGTTGTGACCCTTTTGGGGTTTAAGTGACCCTTTCACAGGAATCACCTAAGACCATTGGGAAACATGGGTGTTTACATTACAATTCATAACTAGAAAAATTACTGCTATGAAGTAGCAATGAAAGTAATTTTATGGTTGGGTCATCACAACATGAGGGGCTGTATTAAAGGGTCTCAGTGTTAGGAAAGTTGAGAACCACTGATTTAAGATTAAAATGCTTAGCGATAGTTCTAAGTGTGGAATAGTTTGGTATGAAACAGCAGATAATTATGAGGAATGCTTAAAATGGAGGCAAAAGACAAATATATAATATATTAAATTATTCACCAAATACCGTGAATACATGGTAAGGGAATAATTCTCGATCTGGGGTCAGAAGTCAAAATGGAATGATGCTTGATGATTTCAGGGGTGAAGCTTTATAAAATATGTAAGTAAAAAAAGTGTGATCAAAGAATGAATGTGAGGGCCTGGAGGAAAACCAGGCCAGAGAAACAGAAGTATTGTTTTTACAGTGTTACTTATATGTGTATGTTTTCTTTTTTTTTTTATTTATTTTACATGCCGATCTCAGTTCCCCTCCCTCCCTCCCTCTTACCCTCTCTTCCCCCTCACATGCACCCTGACCACCCTTCCATCCCCCCCCCCCGCCCCAATTCCACTTATAGGGCAATGCCATCCAGGTGGGGTCATATAGATCTGTCAAGTCATTTGAAGTAGGGACTAGGACTTCTCTCCTGTCTCTAGGTTAAGGCAGTTATCCCTCCATGGGGGATGTGTCCGCAAGGTCCTTTTGTGCACCAGGGATACTTCCTGGTTCCACTATCTGAGGTCCCTTAGATTGCTCAGTCCTTCTGGCTGAGACCCATATTCGGGGGGGGGCGGTGCTGTCAGTCCCATGCTGGATTCCCAGCTATCAGTCTGGTGGCCCGTTAGCTCCTCCTTGTTCAGGTCAGCTGTCTCTACGTGTTTCTGTAACCTGGTCTTGTCCTCTCCCTCTGCATCTGGATTCTAGTTCGACTTAGTGTTTAAAAAAAAAACCATACTCCTTACAGGTATGGATGTTTGCTTCTTTTTCCAACAGGTATTAGATGAGGGCTCTATGATGGTGGATAAGTTAGTTGTTGATCTCACTATCTGGGGAGGGCATTTATGGTAGCCTTTCCATGGTTGCCAAATTGTTAGTTGGCGGCAGTCTTGTAGGTCTCTAGACCTTTCTTTAGGTTCAGTTTTCTCTACAAACCAATAATGGCTCCCTCTTTTATGTTCTCTCTCTCTCTTCTGTCTTCTGTTCCTACCCTGACTCAATCTTCTTAGTCGCACATGCTTTCCTCTCCTCCCCCTCTCTTTATCCTTCTTCTCTCTCCATTCACTGGCTCCCCACTTCCCATGTGCTCTGGGGGACTTGTCCCTTCCCCCTACAGAAGTATTTTTTGAATTTTACTCTTTTTATTATATATCATATTATAATATTATTACATTATATTTATTATGTTTTTTTGTTTTGTTCTATTTCTTAAGGTTTATTTTATTTTTTATATATACAGTGTTCTGCCTGCATGTATGTTTGTAGGCCAGAAGAGGGAATCACATCCCAGTATAGATGGTTGTTAGCCACCATGTGGTTGCTGGGATTTGAACTGAGGACCTTTGGAAGAGCAGTCAAGATTGGCTTAAGATCAGATCTCTTTTAGGAAAACAACAAAAGCCTGTGGTTTGACGAAAGCATTTGGTGATTGTTCACCTTGAGCAGAGTAAGAACGGTGGACTATCTGGATACAGGCTGTATTTGAAGCAGCACTGGCACGGTATTAACTTCATTTAGTATTCACTGGGGTCTGCCATCCGCTGCCAGGCAAGGAGGGAGGGCTGGAATCTAAACAAAAAGATGGTAGGAAGGGAGATGGCTTCCTGTTTTCTGGAAACAGGTCCTAAGAACTTGGAGTCTTTACCAACTACAATGTGAACAGCCATATCATTCTGAAGAAACTGCTTTCTGAGGGGGCCACATCTGTGGCCCTGCCAAACACCATTGACTCTTTCCAGGCATCCAGAGATTACAGTTACAGCAATATAATAAATACAAGAAATAGATACAGATGTGGTCCTTTACTGGGACGCTAGGTCCTAGAGTATATCAAACTGCTCTCTGGAGTTATTCCCTGCAGCATACTCCATACATAAGAGCCTACTCAGGTTGACCAAAGGGATCAACTCACAATGTAAAAAATGATGAAAATTACAATAAGAATGTCTAGGTAAATGCCAGCTCAAAACTTAAATCCTGTTAGGAAGTAAAGCAAATGCCTAATGTCTAAAACATTGTGAAGTGTGGAGATAAACAAAAACAACACACAGTTGTACCAGGGGAAGTGGTAGTGTTTCAGGACTCGTCTGGAATGAGCATTCTGACACCAATGGTAGTGGGAGAGATAGATGTCACTGGTAGACTGAGGCCAGAATAGCTTCTGGGAGGCTTCGGATGCTGGATCCAGTTTGTATTCCCATTTTTATACTCTAAAACAGTGGTTCCTAACCTTCCTATTGCTGCAACCCTTTAATGCAGTTCCTCATGTGATGACCCCCCAACCAAGAAGTTATTTTTATTGCTACTTCATAACTTTAATGTTGCTACTGTTATTAATCTTAATGTAAATATCTAATATTGAACCCCTTTGAAAGAACCGTTTAACCCTCAAAGTGTTTGTGACCCACAGATTGAGAAATGCTGCTCTAAAACTACAAGGCAGGGTGGCAGTCAGCAGGTCATGAAGGGCTATGACCCATTACTTCAGCTAGTCCTCCAGGTCATTCTGTTGGCAAGTGAAATCAGGCTTGGCAAATTGGCAGTACAAGTAGCACTTTAAGTAAATCACTAAATAAACAAATCAGTATTAATAATTGGCCTTTTCTACCTTATTCTACTTCAGTAGTCAAAAGTAAAAGTATGTTTAAAAAAAAAAACACCTTATTATAGAAAGATAACTTTAAAATCTGGTTTTGAGCCATAAAGCCACTTAATTTTAAGTATTAAGAAATATGCCTTGAGGCTGGAGAGGTGGACCAGCTGGTAAAATTGATAGTTGTGCATGCCTGTTGATCTGATTTTGATCTAAGAACCTACATAAGCCAGATGGTACAGTACACACCTGGAATCCCCACCCCCCTACAGAAGGGTGAGGGCAGACAGGAAAAACACATGGATGCTCACAGGCCCACTACCCTGGATTATGGCGGAGATGGCCGAAGCAACAAGAGACTCCCTGACCCCACAGGGTGGGAGGTGGTAACTCATTTCTAGAAGTTTCCCCATGGCCTTAACATGAACACTCTGGAAAAGATTAATTATAGGTGAATACAATAATTTAGTAAATTTAAAAATGTCACTGTGTTGTACAGGGCTGCCCTTCAAGCCAAACCACTGCCATCAAAAGTTCTCATCACAGCTAGACTTGTTGACTGTGATTTTTTTCTCATAGGAAGAAGAAGCAAGTTGGGTCAGGAGACCCTCACATGAGTATCTAGCCTCCCTTCCCAACCAGTCATGTGCAATTCGTGCATACCCTAATTACATCTAGGCTTGGGGGTCTCTGGGAGAGCTTAGAGGAGGGGACTTTCTCTGCACAGC